ATTCAGCCAGTATTGCAACAAAAAGCTTACCTCAGTTGATGCGAGATAGCGACTATGCAGCCGCTTTGTCAGTGGGATCAGGGAATGATTAATTAATTTAAGACACCAGTACCTTTCTTGCTCATCCCTTTCATATTCAGGTAGATAACTTATTGAGTGGCCCTCGTATGATTTCATTTACAGTTCTCGATATTTGAACTGGAGAGTACCAGCCCAGGAACAGATTGCCATTCCACTGACTCATATACCTTTGGAATTATCTTCTTCGCTGCATCCTTGCATTCCACTTTTGAAAGAATTAATAACTGTCATTGGTACGGCTTAGAAAAGGTCCGGACAATTAGAAATGTTCTCGATGGTTCGCGCGTCCGCGTCGCGTGGAGATGGGAGGAGAGTATATGTAGGATGCCAGGTGCGCATTTCACGCGTACGCCTAGCAACCCTGTCTACGCGGCTGGGAGCAGCCCCTCTCTTCCATTGGAGCTGTCATCCGCTATGGGCCTGTGATCCGCAACGGCTGGAAGAGAAGGGGATGTTTTACTGGAAGACGGGCTCTCCGACCCAGGCGGAAAGCTGCACATGCGCAGTGAGTCGTGTTGTCCTGTCGCTATGGTTACTGCGGACAGACGAGCGCTTGTCCGGCACATCTTTAATCACACTCGATTCTCCCCGAGGGAATCCAGACGCAGCCTCCAGAATCATGGAAAATTTACTTATTTCATCATCCCTGTATCGAGTGAAGCCCAAATTCGAATCATACTTTCTCCACGATTAGCAAGAGTCTGTTTGGACTGCTTAACCTGTTCAGATAAATGAACCGAGAAATTCGAGTGTCTTCCTTTACGTTCTTTATGGAAATGGATCAAGTATCGCAAGAAAGGTACTGGTGTCTTAAATTAATTAATCATTCCCTGATCCCACTGACAAAGCGGCTGCATAGTCGCTATCTCGCATCAACTGAGGTAAGCTTTTTGTTGCAATACTGGCTGAATACCTGCCATCTCGCTTATTCTGTGGAAAGCTTTCGTTTCGTTTAGCGCCAATGTGGGGCCAACACGGGCAGCCCATTGTGATGTTAGGCCACATTTTCCCACTCGCAGCCAACGTGGGCCCAATGTATTGTGCTGCCGGGGAAATAGTTTCTTCTTTGAAAGTTACAATTTCAAGCTCCAGATTTGCCAGGTCAATGCCCTGAAGTCTGTGAATAATTAGCTCATCCGCATGAAATTTGTCCGAAAAGCTGAGGTACTGAAAGGTCTCCGAGATTCCAAGAGCTCGGAAACCTGAAACCTTTCTGCAAAAGAGTCAACGACAACATGCACATACACAGCCATTGAAGTGGTATTCTCATCAGTTGTCTCCAAGCCTTTTTCAGAGGCAAACTCTGCTAGTTCAGGAAATTGACGAAGCACTCCAGTTTTGAGATCTCTCAAGAGAACTCCGAGGGTTCTTTCACAGCTCAACAGTGATTCTTGCAATTCAAGGATTGTTCTTCCCTTTCCTTGCATTTGCAAATTCAGCTTGTTCAGGCGCTGCATCATATACACAAGGAAATTTGAAATTCAGCTTTGGCAGCCACTCAGGATCTTTCAGCTCAGGCGCAAGATATTTTTTCTCACAAGGGAAAAATTCCGGACCTGGTAAGCAATCTTTGAATTACTTCAGGCAACGACCTCTTGAGAGCCAGCAAATTGGGCTATAAAGGACAAGTCCTCCATATAGTGCCTCAATTTCCTCCACAAAACTGGCAAACTTTCGCCGTTTTAGGGCCCTAGCTAGAATGAAATTCACAATTTCCATAATTTTGCTCATGGCTTTCTCCAAATTTGGAATTCTTCCTAAGGCACTGGTAGCAAGAGCATCCTGATGCATCTATCAATATACAAAAGAAATTTACTGTTTCCCGATTTCGCCAATTTTCCATGAGTGTAACAAAGTTAAATTGTCCTTCTTGCCTATTGTTCTGAATGAATGTGAAGTTATTTTTTGAACGAAAGAACAAGGTTTTGTATTTCCAATAATGGAATTAACTTCTTGCTAATGTAGAACCAAAGAATTGGGAAGTGGAGGTACTTTCGTTCCCTCTTGTGCAAATGGCAATATGAAAACAGCCTCGAGTCAGAATTTCATGATCACCCCTTGTATGCTGCCTTGTAATGCCTAACACCCACAATTTCAAAATCTGGTCTTGCTGTTCATGGGAAATAGGAGTGGGAAATGGATCCAAGAACAATTGTTGACAAGTGTGAAGGGACAATAAAACGAACCATGATGTCCATGAAGCTCACAAAGCACCAGAATGCATCAACTTCATTCTCCATGATGAATAGGATGGGGGTGAGGTCAGGCATTCCCTGGACATGGCCCAGGTCAAAGTTCCACATTATGTATGTTTTCAAAATGTCCTTCAACATCAGAAAAACTATCATTTCCCTTCCCCTCATAGAAGGGAACTGTCCGGTCTGTCCGCTCCACATCCTTCTCTAAAATACCAAAATAATTCCTGAACTTAGAGGGATTCTTAAGTGAGATAATTTGAACAAAACATAATTTACTCTCAAACTTTTAAACGTTAACTCTCTCTGTTGCATGTTGTAGTCCTGCATAGTCCTGCAAAACCTGCATGGAATATAGGAAAATGTTAAGTAAATGCATTGATGGAAAAATAGAAAAGATTCTCAAACAGTTCTCAGGAGAAACATTCTGCAAAGAGTAGGAATGCACAAAAAAAAAAAAAAAAAAAAAAAAAAAAAAAAAAAAAAAA